AACTTACATCGCTTGATCTGGTTTTCTGTTAGTTTTAGAGTTGTCTTTCTATTCTTAATATTTTAATATATCTTAGATTATTGTAGAAATCACAATTCTCAGCGGAAAGGAAATTGCTCTATGGGCCACAAAAAATATTATCGTTGACGCCCCCATCCTCAAATTTGCTATTTCTTTGTTTGAACCTACAGTAATGTTACATAGACACCGTAGGTCCATACGAACTCCGGTTTAGAACCACAGCTCTAGGGTCAATTTATAATTAGTCACCCAGTAGAGGCGCAAGAACCACTCAAAGTAGAGGCCTATTAAATGAGGTTATTTTTTTATGAACGCAATAGTAGGGGGTAACTGAAAAATATGATGATATGTAGGATAGAAACGTCCTCTCGGGGTGCTATTCCAAAAGTTAGCAATTCGTGGGACGAAAATCTTCGAACTTAACTTCTTTATTACTAAAAGAATAAGAAAAGAATGAGGATGGCTAGTGGTAATCTATGTAGCGGGGTGTGCCTTAGCTGTGAAGGTTTGAACTGGTGGAACTAATTAATGTTTCTCCACGGAATACAGTAAGGCTTGCGACTTTTCGTCTGTGGGAAAAGGGGTTGTAGGGTGGAAGATAATTCATCGTACACATGGCCGCGGAGACGCTTTTCAAATCTGCTACGGCTGCAAAGTGAGCATTGGGTACTTCCAGCCCAGATATGGCAGAAATCCTTTATTTTTGGTCTGATCTGACTCTTGTAAAGATACAGCATGGCAGGAGGAGTCTGATACTTTCGGGGGCGTCGCAGAGAATCAAGCATTTTATCTTTAGCGATGTATAAATTCTAATTCTCAGGTGTAACAACCATTTCGAAATGAAATTGCACTATGGGCCAGAAAAACATCATGGATGCCCCCCCCCCCATCAAATTTTTTATTTCTTTGTTTGAACTGAAGCTCCAGTAATGTTACATAGACACAGTAAAAAAGTTGGTTCACTGTGTCGTAACAGACGTTTTTTTCTATCGTTTGTTCCTCCTGCAATATAACTCGACACCCTTAAAAATATCAAAAGAAGAATCTGCAATATTATTGGTCCTGAGTTAGCATCTCAGATTCTATTATCAGGATAATAAAATAAACCTGTACTCAATGATTCAATAAACTGGAAATACCTTACCTTGCTGTTTATAATGTCCCATTGATCATATATAAATAGTTTAGCACAGCACACATGGCCTTAGGATTGCATTCAAGCAAGAAAAAGATTGTCATCACTCGGTATTAAACTCAGTATTCACTTTCATATTTACATATATTCTATCCGATATATATATATGTATATATAAAATGAAGAAAAATTTATGCAAAGAATTAAATAGTAATGTTAATGTGGTTAATGGCGAAATTGCTTCGCTAACAAGACTTAATGAGACATTAACTTACTATCAATTCCTTGAATAATAAGATCCTTATATTCGAGTTGTTGTTAGAGGGAAGATACATGCCAAGTACTTTCAACAATTTCAAATTGTCATCTTCAGAGCGCAATTTTCCCATCTCCATCAGCACCTACCCCCGTCTCTCTCTATCACCACCTACATCTATCTCTCTATATCACCACCTCTCCCTCTATCACTATCTATCTATCACTACCTATCTCTATCACTACATATCTATCTATCTATCTATCTATCTATCTATCTATCTATCTATTCTCTATCTATCTCAGTCTGTTCATGTCTCGTTCTCTCTATCAGTGTATTTATATCTATCTATCTATCTATCTATCTATCTATCTATCTCTCACCACCTATCTCTACCTATCGCTATCTCTCAATTCAAGGGAGAATTTTTTCCAATACATAGGCATAATACTAAGACGAAATATGCGTAGACCTGAGAATATTTTTTAATTATGCTATTTAATGAAGTTGAATATATGTTTTGAAGCGTGAGATGACGCGACGCTAGAATTCTTGTTCAAATCGAGCAAGTGAGAATTTTGTTTCATGTTGAATACTTATAAATCCACGAATATATATATATATATATATATATATATATATATATAATATATATATGGGATATAGATCCGACAGTATGAAGAAAAATATACAGAAAAAACAAACAAAAATCTTAATATGCAATTATGCTGTATTAATTTTAATATAAAGTCAACGTCGGACGTTTCGGTCTATTTTAGACCATCATCAGGACATTTTCATTAAACATAATTAACATTAGAACATATAAAATTCAACATGAAAAGACGATGGACATAAGAGCACAACTAATCCAAACAGATAACTGAAATTTTTATATAAGATCAGCGTTCCGTTTAAATATGATCACGTAATCGTCACGTGGGCGATGTTGTGAAAACATATTCGAAGATGATTTCAAAATATTAAAATATTAAAAAAGGTCGATTGAACTATTTTATATAAAGAGTTCAAGAAATCAACGGAAGGGATTTCTTGAACTGTTTATATAAAATAGTTTAATTTAATTTAATTTAATAATTTTCACATTTTGAAATTAAAATTAAAAACTACCCATTTCAAAAATGTAAATTTAATCTATATTAAGTTTAAAATTTTAAAATTATTGAGGAAAAAATAAAAAATAAAAAAATCAGATTATGATACATAAGCACGCAGACATATTTAGATATATACACACAAAAAAAGTGACGAGACAGGAAATATTTGCACTTCTTACAAAAAAAAAAAAAAAATTAAACTAGAAAAAATGTTTGTATTGTCTTTCGCAAGATGTCATAATCACATGTCTACACTTGTATCCATGTTGTCATTAAGTTAAGGGCAGTCGATCTTAACGTTTATTCCAACGTAATTTCAATAGAAACAAAATGAATAGAATAACATGTATTTTTTCTTTCTTCCTCATGCCGCGGATATATATATATATATATATATATATATATATTTTCAATATATTTTCCAATATCCAAGACCAGTCTCTTCATATCTATCTATCTATCTATCTTGGTCGGTTTATATTTACATATGAAATTGAACATTGAAGTCAACACTCAGACACAACAAGCTGTTTCATACTAGACGCAATCGTCAATCCTGACGATTGTGTCCAGCATGAAACAGCCTGTCGCCTCTCAGTGTTGAATTCAAAGTTCAATTTTATATTAATATCTACATACGCTCTATCTCTAATATTGAGCACTTTATCCCATAAATATAGCACACTTTAAGACTATATCTTTGCATATATATATATATATATATATATATATATATATATATATATATATATATATACACGTATTATTTTTATACACATTTGAGGGGTAATTATAAGTTGATTTAAGGTGATAGAGAGAGGAAGAGGAAGGAGATGACAGATATGGTCGAAATTAGAGAGGAAATAATTTTAAATCTATTTTTATATTTATATTTACATACGCTCTATCTCTGATATTGAGCACTTTATACCATAAATATAACACACCGTAAAACTATATTCATTCATATATATATATATATATATATATATATATATATATATATATATATATATATATATATATATATATATCAGACGGCATTTCGAAACGAAAGCGACGAGGCGTGTAATCAGGATTATCGTTAATGAACATTCCGCAGGTTCACCTACAGAAAATTTGTTACGACTTTTACTTTCTCTAAACGATCGTGTTCGGTCGTCTTCTCCAGGCATCGAACGCCGAGGCGAGTACGACACGCGCGGGAAACGGTGACAGAGACCGCAGCCGCTGCGCCACGTACACGTCATCGCTTGTAGGGTGTCAGAGGTATATCCCCGAAAACAATAGTAACAGTTATATTATACTGTTCGGAGTCTTGGATAATTTATTCCAGCCACATTCAGAAGTTCGATGGCTTCCATGAATACAGTCTTCGCCATATCTCAGGCTATGCACTTTCTGTTTGTTTATTCAATTCTGAATTGTTCGCAGGGTGCAATATCGGTGGGACTGAGCCATTTCTTGCGTACTCCCAATTCAAATGCATTGGTGATGCCCTGCGGATGACTGAGGACTGCTCACCCAAAATATTGTTATTCAGTAAGCCTCTCGTTGGTGCACGTAATCCAGGCAGATCCCTACTCGGGTATAAAGACAAACTGAAGTACAATGTCAATGCACCTCATCCAGATTTTCGAGCAAAATACTGAACACCTTATTCGATAATTGAAATATTATAATAAAAAATTAAACAGACAGACAGATCTTGTCGTTTCTTTTAAATAAAAGTTGTTTGGACGCACGGGCGCGAACACACTCTATGCAACCCCCCCCCAAAAAAAACATGCACCAATGAATAGTGCATATACAAAAAATCGAAAAGTATAAGCAGTAATACTGCTGTTACAACATGACGAGTGGACAGTGGTAATTCCCCGTATATATATATATATATATATATATATATATATATATATATATGTGTATATGTATATATATGTATATGTATATATATATATATATGTATATATATATATATATGTATATATATATATATTATATGTATATATATATATATGTATATATATATATATATATGTATATATATATGTATATATGTATATACACATGTATGTATGTGTATATATACAGGTATGTATGTGTATGTATATATGTATGTGTCTATGTATGCATATATAAGTTTCTATATATGTACATACATGTGTATATGTATATATATATGTATATATATATATATATATATATATGTATATATACGTATATATATCTATATATAAATGTATATATATGCATATATATATATATATATATATATATATATATATATATATATATATATATATATATATATATATATATATATATATAAATATCCAAATAAGTTTTAGAGAATATTTAATGTAAATTACAAAAAGTCTTGAATAGTAGGTTAAATTAACTGAAAGAATGAATAAATTAAAAATATGTCCCCAGGAAGGAATGAAGTGAGAATTATAGAAATCGAATTTCAGGAAAGAAAAAGATGACAAAATGTAAGACTGAGAGTAAGGAGTAAAATACGTTCGAAAAGAAAGAAAGAAAGAAAGAAAGAAAGAAAGAAAGAAAGAAAGAAAGAAAGAAAAAGGAGAAGAAAAACAATAGAAGGGAAAGCTATGACGTGATTAGAAAGAAAGAAAGAAAGAAAGTAAGAAAGAAAGAAAGAAAGAAAGTAAGAAAGAAAGAAAGTAAGAAAAAAAGAAGAAAAAGACGGTAGGGAGATTAATGCGAAAAAAAAATAAGAAAAGGACGAAGAAAAGAGAAAAAAAGGATGTGATGAAGAATTAGAGAAAAAAGGAAAAGGAAAAGGAATAGGAAGGAAGGAAGGAAGGAAGGAGGAAAAAAGACGCAAGAAATAAAGAAAATGAATGAAATAAAGAAACAGAAAAAAGACAAAACGAAAGAAAGGAAGAAAGATAAGAAGAAAATATGAAAGAAAAGAAAGAAGAAAGAAAGAAAAAGAATGAAATAAAAAAACGGAAGAAAGAAAAGAGAAAGAAAGCACGAACCAAAGAAAGGAAGGCAGAAAGAAAGAAAGGAAATACAAAATAAAGAAAGAAGGGTAAAACGAAACGAAGAAAGAAAGAAAGAAAAAAGAAAGAAAGGAAATATGAAAGAAAAGACGAAAGAAGGAAAGAAAGAAAAAGAATGAAATAAAAAACGGAAGAAAGAAAAGAGAAAGAAAGAATGAACCAAAGAAAGGAAAGCAGAAAGCAAGAAAGAAAATACGAAATAAAGAAAGAAGGGAAAAACGAAACGAAGAAAGAAAGAAAGAAAGAAAAAAAGAAAGAAAGGAAAGACGAAAGAAAATATGAAAGAAAAGCCGAAAGAAGGGAAGAAAGAAAAGAATGAAATAAAGAAATGATAATAACGGAAAAAAGAAATAAGAAATTGCATATAAAAATAATCAGGGGAAATGAAAGAAGATTTCTTTTCGGCAAAAGAGAAAAGAAAAAAAAGAAGAAGAAATCCTATCGCAGAAAAGATTAAAAAAAAAACGTAATTGCTTCGATTCTAAAAAAAAAATGAAGACGAAAATAAGGGGTTTGAAATGTAATTGTATTAAAAAAAAACCTTATGTATAAGAGACAGGTTCCCCAAAATACATGCGATAAGATATGAATAAAAAAGAAATGAAAAAAAAGTCTAGAAACCTTACAAGATAAAAAACCTTAATGCATCAAATATAATTGCCATAAAAGAAGAATTGGCCGACAAAGAATTTCCTTAATAAACTAAAGTTTGCCAAGAAAAAGAACTATAAAAATAAAAAAAAGGAAATAAAAACCGGAGATAGAGACCAAGAAAAATACAAGGAAAAGGTTTAATAGTACCCTGCCATTAATATTATTGTTATTATTATTTTCTTTTTTTTACAATCTGTGGAGCCTTCCTCATTGTCATACACACTCGTCTTAACAGCTTTAAAAAAAAAAAAAAGGTGTAACTCCACAAAACAAGTTAGATGCGGTTCATTAATTGGTTGGAAGTTGGATGAAATAAAGGTCGTTGGTGTTAGCACGGACCTGCCAAAATCTGCAGGCTGGATCATCTCCTGCATAGAAAATCTGTTCAATATATATATATATATATATATATATATATATATATATATATATATATATATATATATATATATATATTTAGTTGGATTGATCTAAGTTTGTGATGTATATTTATATACATACACATTTCATACATATATATATATATATATATATATATGTGTGTGTGTGTGTGTGTGTGTGTGTGTGTGTGTGTGTGTGTGTGTGAAATGTATGGGTCACAAACTCACATCAATCCAACCAACTATATATATAACTTTTTAATATATATTGTTTTTTGTTTATATCTATCTTTTAATATATACTTTTTTCTCGTTGGAACAACTATAAACCCTTCCCATTATATATATATATATATATATATATATATATATATATATATATATATATATATATTCACTTTTATATTTACATACGCTCTATCACTGATATTGAGCAATTTATCCCATAAATATAGCACAACTTAAGACAATATTTCTTCATATATATATATATATATATATATATATATATATATATATATATATATATATATATATATATATATATATATAAGAAAAAATATACGGAAAAAACAAATAAAAATCTTAATATGCAATTATGCTGTATTAATGTTAATATAATGTCAACGTCGCACGTTTCGGTCTATTTTAGACCATCATCAGGACATATTCATAAAACATAATTAACATTAGAACATATACAAATTCAACATGAAAAAGACGATGGACATAAGAGCACGACTAATCCAAACAGATAACTGAAATTTTTATATATGGTCAGCGTTCCGTTTAAATAAATTTTATTTAAACGGAACGCTGATCTTGAATATGTCCTGATGATGGTCTAAAATAGACCGAAACGTCCGACGTTGACTTTATATTAACATTAATACAGCATAATTGCATATTAAGATTTTTGTTTGTTTTTTTCTGTATATTTTTCTTCATACTGTCGGATCTATATCCATACATTTGCTTATATATATATATATATATATATATATATATATATATATATATATATATATATATATATATGTGTGTGTGTGTGTGTGTGTGTGTATTACCAGGTGTAATAAAAATTGTCCAAATCGTGTAAGACGATGGATAATTGTCCACCCCACATCTAATATCTAAAAAAAAATACTAAACTAATTGAGTTTCTTTTTTTAGGTTTTCTGATAAGACGTTTAACCATCTAGACACAGTTTGTGGTAAGAATCATTGAAAAACCAATTGAGTTATTCAGCTGGAAAGAGAACCGGTGAAAATCATTTTGTGTCAGCCCCACTATGTCTTCCTAACTGAGCAATGGTGAGAGGAAAAAGATCATTCAGGCCTTCAGTAATGGTATCAACATTCAAACCCTGGCTTCCATCTTCAATGTTAATTCAAGGGCCATCGAGAGAACGGTGGATAAGTTTAAAAAAAGGGAACAGTAAAGAGGAAAACTGGATCAGAAGATCACAACAGGAAGAGGGATCATCATTTCAACTTAGAGCTAAATACATTGTTATCGTTGAAAGTAGAGTTAAATAGTGTTATCAAAACCTAGGAGAATTCCAGAAATATATCTTAAATCATTTCTAAGATACAACTGTTCAAAGCTTAATCTAAAAATTGGGCAATTTTGCTCCTACACGATTGGAACCATTTTGCTGTACTTGTATACATATAAGTCTGTTCTTTATCTATCTATCTATCTATCTATCTATCTATCTATCCCAATCCGTTCATATCTATGTATCTCTCTATCTCTTACTTTGTGAATACTTATCTATCTATCTATCTATCTATCTATCTATCTATCTATCTTCCATCACTTCATTTTCTATCTATCTATCTATCTATCTATCTATCTATCTATCTATCTATCTATCTATCTATCTTCCATCTTCATTTTCTATCTATCTATCTATCATCTATCTATCTATCTATCTATCTATCTATCTATCTATCTATCTTCCATCTATTCATTTTCTATCTATCTATCTATCTATCTATCTATCTATCTTCCATCACTTCATTTTCTTTCTATCTATCTATCTATCTATCTATCTATCTATCTATCTATCTATCTATCTATCTATCTATCTTCCATCACTTCATTTTCTATCTATCTATCTATCTATCTATCTATCTATCTATCTATCTATCTATCTATCTTCACCGCTCGCTCACTCTTCCTCTCTCTCAATCTGCTTGTCTTTCTATCTGTGTATATATATGTGTGTGTGTGTGTGTGTGTGTGTATATTTATGAATGTACATGACGAGTGGAGAGAGTGGAAGTTCTCGTTTTCGTCTCTGGACACTTGTCAGTCATTTCCATTTGCTCACCCCAATTTTCTAACTCTTTTTGATTATTCTATTCGCATTCGGCGATTCCTATGCATTATTAATTCCATTATTCGCATTCTGTTATTCGGTTTCATTTACTCCATAACGCTGACCAGTCAATCGCGAACAACTTCGTTTGTCCTTGGCCATTCGATTAATATAATTTAGATTTTGGAATAACATTATTTCTGTCTCTCTACCCGCGGTTCTTTCAAGAAAAAAGAAAAAAAAAACTTTCTCACCTTACTAATTCTGTTTCTAATGGATAAAGAATTGCATTCGGACGTACCGCAAGATTTCTCATAACTGTTTTACTACTAATCTTTGGACAATTATTTATAGTTTTGATTTATTTATTTTTTACGGTTTATCAACCTTTTACAGGTAATTTCAGGTCAGAAAAATTATTTTAGTGTGTAAGAAAATTTATTTTTTAATATAATAATGATCTATTTACATTATTTACATTATTCGGACTGTTATCCTCATCTTCATTGTAATATTCACAACGTTTCGGCCTCTATATCTCTGAGATGAGGTATTATGATTACTTGCTTTATTTACATTATTCGGACTATTCATTACCATATTCACAAAGTTTCGGACTATATCATTGAGATGAGGTATTATGATTATTTGCATTTAATTATTCGGACTATTCATTGCCGTATTCACAAAGTTTCGGCCTCTATATCTCTGAGATGAGGTATTATGATTACTTGCTTTATTTACATTATTCGGACTATTCATTGCCATATTCACAAAGTTTCGGCCTCTATATCTCTGAGATGAGGTATTATGATTATTTGCATTATTTACATTATTCGGACTGTTATCCTCATTTTCATTGCCATATTCACAACGTTTTCGGTCGTTGTGCGCTTCGGCCTTCTTCAGGTGACTGGAATTTCGAAACGAACCCATTATTTCGCCCACCGGGGTAGATTATTCTAATTCCACGTGCCATGCCTCTTCCGGATGTCTCAGCTATTTCCCTTGCAGTGCGGAGTTAAAGGGAATTTTGGACGTAGGAATCAACATTGAATGCTGACCCAATTTCGTAATGATCTGAAGATAACATCGAGGCATGAAACTGACTGTCACCATGCAGTATTGATTCCTATATTGATTTTCTAAGCGTAGATTAGAGGTGGCACAAAGCCGAAAGTATGGAGCACCCAGTGAGGATCAAACTCATTATTCAGTCGTAATTGATCTAGCGAGACAAGCTTGTTAACCATTACACCACGTCGAGGCGCCGAAATGATTTACTAAGCGTAGCTTTGATGTGGCCCGAGGCCGAAAGTATAGGGCACCCAGTGAGGATCAAACTCACTATTTAATCGTAATTGATCTAGCGTGACAAGCTTGTTAATCATTACACCAACTTGATTCCTATGTCTTTACTATTTAATGGGCACGAGGCCGAGTGCTTAGAAGGTTCGCATTCTGATGTTATTGGACTGGAGGGTTCGATCCCAGCATGCGGCATCTTTGGAAAGTGCCTGAAAACCGTACCACGGGTTGACCCAGGCTTTGGAGTGAAATTGGGTAGACAGAACCCTTGGGCTCCATCGATAACTGTACTAGCACGAAGTCAGAAGCCATCGAGGCCGAGGGCTTGAACGTGCTGGCCTTGTTTAAATTGTTGATCCGGCTAGATAACACCCTCTCTCTCAGAAACTGTAACTAAGGTCTGCTCAGCATAGTTCCTTTAGAAAAGACAGGTGGACTCTATGGGTGTTGAATAAGCACAAAAGCGCCTGAGAAAGCGTCTGCAATAGGGATTGGCTTGCCACCCTGGTAGACGGATACCCGTCTACTAGCCGCCCTAGTCACCTCGGATGTTTCCGAAGCAATATCTGACTCTGGCGCAAAGACAAGAAAGTTTAACACAGAGAGAAATAAATCACAATTTTCCATCGTCTCCTCCAATGAGAGATGAAGAAGAGACTCGAAGCAACGAAGGTATAGTTCAACAGGAGGATGTT